AGTACGGCAAAATACTTAGGAACTTTGTCATTGAATTCCTATTTAATGAAGCGCTCAAGAAATCATATGATATTAAAGTATTTTCTGCAGAGTGATAAAGGTTAAGATAATATTTTAATGATTTCTATATCTTGATTAAGTCAAGTGAAATAGGGCAAAATACTCTTAATAGGAAGTTACCTATGTAAGTGCGAAGTGGGGTCGCTTCAATGAGAATTATTTGAGGATAAAATTTTCTAAACACTTATGAAACCCAAGATCGGTTCAGGGCCAAAATGAACTAGGTTATGATAACCATGAACGGATTAGAAAAAATAATCTGTGTGAGTATTGTTATCTTGACTTACACTAACGGCCGAATGATCCAAGATATTACGTTTACTAATTAGTCAAGTAAGTCCAATAGCATTTCACTAAGGAAGGTTCAAAGCTGAAAGCTACATTACTTGATGCAGTGTTTTTTTCTCTCTCTTTACTAGTGTTTGCATTGTCATTTGCATATTTAAAATTTTCATTCATATGGGGGTTTGTTGGAAATTGGTGTAAGATTGAAGGAAAATTGGTTAAGTGTTAAAATTAAAAATGTGGAAAAAGTGACTTTCGTGTCAACTATTGCCAAATATTCGAACTTGATTCGATGGTCAAATTACAAATATAAATAGACTACTTTATTCTACTCGTTGAGTAGATCATCATGGTATATTTGGAATCTCAAAATTAATTCTAGATGAATGAGAAATTACGGTCAAAATTTAAAAAAAAAAAGATAGGGTAAGAATTGGCTTGAAATTCTTCTTAATTCCGTCACTTGACTATCGCTCTAGCTATTACAACCTAATTTTTTTAGTTAAAAATCAATAGTTGAACTGTCAAAATCATAGTCAAATAGGGACTAAAATAAAATAAATTATTTTATTGGAGTTTATTTTACAATTAAAAATACTTAAGGGTTTAAGATGGATAAAAAGTTAGTTTTGGAATCTACTTATACATTTTTGGAAGCATAGGATTTAATTTTATATTATATGGAAGATGAGGGACTTCCTCTGCAATTTAGAGTTAGTGCCACTTATTATATTCCAAATAAACCCATTTTCATTGGTGGTTCCGCGTGTACACACACAGAGGAGCAAAAAACCAAGAAAGAAACGAAGGAAAAGAGAAAGAAAAGAGAAAAAGAAGGAATGAAGAAAAAAAAGGAAAAGAAGGAAAAGAGGTGATGACGAAAAAATTGAGAAAGCTTATCGACTATAATAGCTAGTAGCTTATCTTGAGTGAGTGGATAAAAACTTAATTTTTAGAAATTAGTATTTATCAAATTTATATTAGATCAGAAAATTTATTATTTCATACAATATATTTGACAACGTGATTTTCAGAATAAAGTTGATTTATAATCAGTTGTTTTTAAAGTTAAATTTAGTTCAGTTAAATTATTTGATTAGCGTGTTATATGAATATTAAATATTTTAGCATATTTAAAGTTATTTTTAAAACCACTAGAAAACACTTAGGTGATTTTATCCTAGTCTGTACTGGTGTGCATGTGTTTCCACAGTGTATGACTCCATATGGTTATTTTACCTTTTCTGTACTGGTGTGAATTTGTTTTCATGGTGTATGATCAGTTATGATGATTTTATCCGCTCTGCACTATTGTGAATATGTTTCAATAGTGTATGATTAGATCATAGCCTTCAGGCAGTTCTGCGAGTGCATGACCCGAATTACAAAATTACATATTTTTAGAATTGAATAGCTTTGCAATGTATATTAGTACTAACCGATATATGAGTAAGGTTATTTAGGGTATCTTTTTGGTGTGATTTTTCAGTATTTCTACAACTTATCAAATTTCAGATTATAGAATTCAGTTTATTCAGTTATTAGACTAAAGCTTCTAGCTCATAGTACTGAACAACAATAATATTTCATAGATTTTCATAGATATCAGATTATTTATATTCATTATATTTTACAACTATTTATCTAGAGTAAAGGACAAAGAATTTTATGATACAATTATGTTACGATTTGAAAGGTGTTACTAGATATCAGAATTCCTCAAAGTTTTGATAGAGCAAAAATTTGCAAAACTTATGCATAAATGAAAAAAGTATACTTATTTGCAAATGTCCACTCACTGAGCTACTAATTCATATATTTTATCACCATTTTTTTATCAGATTGTAGTTGAGTTGAGCAGCAATAGAGCCTGTTGATCTATCGAGTTGAGCCACACATTGTCATAAGATGTATGACTTATTTTATTAGTTTAGATATTTCATATTTTTGGGTTACTTGCATTTTGTCAGAAAATATATCCATATCATGAACTCATTGCATAATTGGAATCTTTTATTATATTGGGTTTTTAGAGTCTTTTGACTTGTTCGGAAGTGTAAAATTCATTTGTGTGCACTTTATTTTGAATAGTTGGTATTTTGAGGATAGGTGTACCCTATTTTATATTATAAGTACTGATTTGAGGAAATTGAGCTTTATTTCAGTTGTTTTAGTCCATATTTCTGACAAAACTCTGTCAATTTTTTTTTTTAAAAATTCGTCACAGTCAAACAGGTCAAGGTTACCTTGATGGTGGTTCGGTACTTAGGTGATATCTTTTATCGGTGCACGATAAGTGTCGAGTCCATTAGGGTGATTCGGGACGAGTTGTGTCACGAGCGACGAGGCTATCGCTCGAGGGATAGGCTAGTGACAAGTGGGCAAAAAGTTCATGTTAAAATTTTGACATTAGTGCTTGACCGAGAGGCTAACGACAGCAACTAATGTTCCCTTGGTAAAGTTGTGAGGTTTGGTATGTATCACTTAACTTATAGCCCCTCATCCTCTATAAATAGGGCCCTTTGGACGTCCATAATGAATCTATATTACTTTTACATTAAGCGTTACATAGAATCTCTTGCAAAAACTTTCCAAAAATATTCTATATCAATCTTTTCATATATCTTGCAAAAAACACATAATCAAAAGTGGTTTTCTTTGCAAAAAATTCATAGTTTGGTAAATAGAGAATTCCGTTCGAGTTCGTTGGTCGAAGCCATTTGGAGTGCTCATATAGATTAATGTGAGCGTTGTATTTTGGGAGATGATTGTCAAAAAACGATTAGCCCTGATGCGGGGCAAATTCATTTTAAGGACAAAGTGTTGCCTCGACCAATCACATCAATTGCATCTCCTCTTCTTTTTAACTTAGTATTTGATTTCAGAAATTGATTTTTTTTCCCGATTTCACGTAAAGTTTGAATTAAAGAATGTAATGACTTTTATTTGATGAATGGAAAGGATTGAATCCATCGTCACGTATTTGACTTTGGTAATTATCATTTCGTCTTCTCAAATTTCATTTGATAAGTCAAAACTATGTTCGATTTCGTGCACGTAAAAGGTACGTTTTGAGAATATAATGTATGCACATTATTGGTCTAATACCCCTCACAATTTTGTATATTATACCATTGCATTTAAACACGAGGTTGTGTTCCTTAGGCGACTAAATTCAACATTTTATGACACGAGGTGACAACATTCAAGCACTCTATGTCCCTATGTTCCTAAAGGCACATTTGAATTATGAATTGTCCAATACATGATATTGAATTTTATTGAAAAAATAATTTTACCTTTATTTTTCAATAAAAACTCACGAAAAAAAGCAAATTATGCCACGACATAAGTCCTCTCCTAGTCGCTTGTGCAAGAGTAGGGGGAACTAGGGAGGGAAAGGAGGGATTGTCTATCGACGAAGGCTCAACAGTTTGGGTTTTAAATGGATCGGAGCCGTCGGCTCGACAACCATCTGACTTAGCTCGATCTAGCATGCGAGCTAGCTTAGAGCTCGCTAGTTTTTTTTTACTACAAATTATATTTTAGTTACAAATTATAAGCTGACTCATATGTGAGCCAACGAACTTGTATGTGGCTAGCTCGCTCGACTCATAAGCCATTGAATGATTCACGTTAGGTTTTTGCTACTTGGCTTGACACTAATTCGACTTGTCCCACTTAAGACTCCTACTAAATTGGAATATATCCGATTAGAGAATATATCCGATTAGAGAGTATAGTGAGAGGCGTGATGGGTAGTAAAGTAAAGAAGGTAGTTATTTTACATTTTTGGCTTTTCTATCTCGAATTAGTCAATTATATGAAATTTATTTCATGGGATCTAAAGTTTCTTCAGCCATATCCTAAACAGGGTTAAATCTCGAGAATGAAAATGCTAAAATATAAGACTTTATATTATTAAATAATATATATAAATACAAGTTTGATCTCCTAAGCACCGGTACTTAGTTTATACTCCCAAGAATGAAAATGCTAAAATATAAGACTTTATATTATTAAATAATTTATATACATACAAGTTTGATCATAAGCATCGGTGCGTAGGAAATCAAACTACCCATTATCTTTCACTAATTAAATTGGTGGTGTAATTAGTTTTAAAACTATCCATTATCTTTTACCAATTACACCAACTATTGTAATGTGCCACGTTACTCAATGCTTAGCTTATGTTAAGGACTGATGATTAGGGGATCAAGACTATATATATATATATATATAAAACAAAAACACTGAAGTACTCGTTATGTATGTAATGTAGGAAAATTCTACTTGTACATAATTATTGAACATAATGGTGATGTGGCAATCATCCGATTGTTGATGTGCAAGTGTGAAATTTGAATTAAAGGTTGGATTCAGTGCCACATGTAATTATGTATACCATTATGTAAACTATTATGTACATGTAGCACTTCTCATATGATGTATCATTCGAATTAAAAATGGAGACCCAAACACGACAAAAATGAAGTGCAAGCACATGCAGTTCTTAGTTGTGGAATCTTTTACTAATCTGAGAATCAATTGGCGTGATAACGGAGGATATGCACAAAATGTAAACACCAGTACTCCAATCTCCGAAGCAACCAGATCCTCACATGCTTCCAAAAACCAAATCAATCTCTGTCACAAAATGAAAATCTACGTAATAAAGCAATCCACAAAGCGTCAATCCGCATTATCGTCAATGTAAACTTCACTTTTTCCAATCCCTTTATTGCAAACCCTGAACCTTTATAACAACATTTGCAGTTATTAATATACTCCAGTTCAGGCCAAATCCTTGGAGAAAATTGGTTCTATTTATATAGGTATCCAAGATGCCGGATTGGGGTCCAGTTTTCGTGGCTGTGGTGTTGTTCATTCTGTTGACTCCGGGTCTTCTGATTCAGATGCCGGGTCAGAACCGATTCGTGGAGTTCGGCAACTTCCAGACTGGTGGATTATACATACTGGTTCATTCTATTATCTATTTTGCTCTCATTTGCATTTTCTTGTTGGTTATTGGGGTTCATATCCAATGATGGCTCC